AGGATTCCACTTTGTAGCCCCATTTCTTGAGGTTGGCTCTGCATCTCATGGTGCCAGAGCTCCAAGATCTTCCCAAAGGTCAGCAATGACAACCAATGCTTGGCCATGAATCCCCATGACGAGTGGCTTAGGAAGCTGGGAATATTCATCTTGAAGAAAAGAAGACTGAGAGGAGACGTTGGGCGCCTCCTTGAGATGGGAGGACGCTTTGTTTTCTGCCTCTCTGGAGACTGGGACACAAAGCAAGGGATCCAAATGGTAGGAAAAGAGATTCCATCAGAACATTAGGAAGGACTTCTTGATGGTAAGAGCACTTTGACCGTGGGATCTGCTTCTGCCTTGGAGTTTGGGGGGGGGGGGCTCCTTCTCTGGAGCTTTTTCAGAAGAGGCTGCTTCGCTATCTGTTGGGAGTGTTTGGTTTTCGTATTCCTGTGTGGCAGGAGGGGATTGGGTTGCATGGTCTTTCCTGACGTGGTTTCATTGTGATTCTCTGCCAACAGCCAAATCACGATAGACCCAACAGATGACCATGGAGCCAAGATCATTCCCTTCCAAACAGAGCCATTTGCCCAATGCCCATGAAACTCAGATTTCAGATTTTTCTGTCAGATTTTGTATTGGTTGAACACGCCCAGTGACATGTCTTGCAGATCGGACTCAGTTTTAAACGTGGCATTCGCATACGTTTCATATATACCGCACACACACCGCCTGAAGATGGTTTTATCCCACAGTGCATGGAACAAAGCTTGTGTACCTCACAACTGGATTTTTCAGTGTTTTGTCCCTGAGTGGATTTTATTTAAAGCCAGGAAACAGATGAGAGTGGAAATGCCTCGGAGAGAGTACAGAGAAGGGAAAGGTTGGACCTTGCCTGGAGACACAAAGAGGGAAGTAATACATTTACCATTATACGGACCCAGGACTTGCTGGTAGAGAAGGTGTAAGGCCTTGGGAAGCTACAACTCCCAGGACTGTGGCACAGGCCATGAAGGGCTGGTATAAAAAAGTACACTAAAGCTAAAGAAGACCAAGCCAACAGGTGCAGTACTTGAGTCAATCGCTGGGGTTGGCGAGCCTGATGGCCTTTCTCTCCTGGCTGCACAAATAGTTGCAGAGGAAAAAAATCAGCTGGCAGGGGAAGGCATTGAGTAGCGGACAGACCTGGAACAGCAAGTTTAATACTCGAGCGTTTGAATGCAGAGAAGCTCCACATCCACAAAGGCCTGAGGAATATAAACTTCTGAAAGGCTCTGGCCAGAATGAGAGAGACAGAGAGCGGCTTGCCTTGGCCTGTCTCTCTCGACCAGGGCTGCCCCTTGGGGCCGCAAATAGGTTTTTAGCACCTCCCTTTCCAAGGAAGGCATCATGAATGACTAGTGAGGATTGTTGTTGTTCCAGGATTTGGGCGACCCTAAAGTGACCCAATCCCAGAGTTTTCTTGGCAAGAGTTATTCAAAGGGGAGAGGCTGAGTGTGATTTGCCTAAAGCCACCCAGTGGGTTCAAAGTCATAATATGGGGTTCAAACCACTGACCCAGGCTTACTGGATTCTGGATTCTTTCCTCCTCTTTTTCCTTCTTTCCTTTCTTCCTCCCCCCCCCCCCTTCATTTATTTATTTCTCCTTCTTTCCTTCAATAGAATAGAATGGAAAGAGACCTGCTGGGCCATCCAGTTTGACCCCATTCTGCCAAGAAGCAGGAAAATTGCATTCAAAGCACCCTTGACAGATGGCCATCCAGCCTCTGCTTCAAAGCCTCCAAAGAAGAGGCCTCCACCACACTCTGGGGCAGAGATTTCCACTGCTGAACACTCTCACAGTCAGGAGGTTCTTTCTCATGTTCAGGTGGAATCTCCTTTCTTTCCTGTAGTTTGAAGCCATTGCTCCGTTGTGTCCTAGTCTCCAGGGCAGCAGAAAGCAAGACTGCTCCCTCCTCCCTATGACTTTTCCTCACGTTTTGATCCATGGCCCTCATCATGTCTCCTCTTAGCCTTCTCTTCTGCAGGCTAAACATGCCCAGTTCTTTAAGCCACTCCTCATAGGGCTTGTTCTCCAGACCC